TGGGATATTGTGACGTCACTGTGTCCCTGTGTCCCGGTCGCAGAACTCTCTGTTGTATACTACTATTATTAGATTCGGTTTTTGTGATATCCGGAATAATAATATCTCGGTAAGGGTTATCAGTCTCAACCTTCGGCTTCGGCTGATAACCCCTACCTCGACCTTGATTATTCTGGATATCACAAAAATCTCATCCAATAATTGTTTATTATCATCCGGCGTTTTTCTATCTTGATAAACTTGTCTTTTCAGGTTCCTTTAATTTAAAGGTAATCTTGTACATGGCTCAAAACACTGTGACTGAGGTCCTTCAAGTAAAATATGCAAGCATTCACTTACTTTTCTAAAACGTGCAGTCTCATTGATTACTCAATATGCTTTACTACTCAATTTTATACATGTGTAGGTTTACTGGCCTTTCGTGATGTTGCCTCAGTATGCTTTTTATGGCTGATCCTGAAGGGAATTATAATCCTTGGTTTAACAAGGAATGCGACAAGTTTCTCAACAAGCGATGTCAGTTCATTTGGCTCTATGTCGTCTGTACTTGCAACTGCTGTTGCCCCAGAGACAACGTCAAGGACAGGAATATTCAATCAGTCAAGGACAGAAACAAGCATTCCTTATAGTGAATCATTTTCTTCTTCTAGGGTAGTTGATAGTATCGCACAAACCACTCGTATTTTTGTATCGTCTTCACAAAATACAGCTTTCAATGCTGCAACATCATCCATCTCGTTTAATCCACATTCACCGTCATTTCGAATATCCAGCGTCATGTACAGTAACTCGCCCGAGGTCACTGACAGCCTTGTATCCGAAAGAACAGAATTGTATTCAACAACAAATGTAAATAACATTAACAAGACACAACTTGCTAGCGGCCATACAACATTATTTCAAGAAGTATCGTCAATCGCAAGTTCAGCAAACCTTGTGCCATCATCCACAAATATGGTGAAACTAAGCACGCTCAAGCGTTCAACAATTGCAGAACAAGAAAGTACATCTGTATTGTCACTCTTGGGTTCTTCGTCAACGTCCACAATTGCATCCATTCTTGTGAAAAACACAGAGGAACGTAGTTTCTCCGCTGTCGCATCAATCTCAAGCCAGGTACTTGATCAGAGTACACCTGTACTGACTTCTGTGTTTTCTGTGTTAGATTCATTATCATCATTATCTTCACCAGAGTTATCGTCACTCAATGTTGTTTCACGTACAACAGCGACGGATGAGACAGTAAATTCAAGGCAGACAACAAGGCAAATTTTACCTCCATTGTCTTCAACGCCTTCTTTGCTGGAGGTATCATCAGCATTCTTTGTTTCCTCAAGTAGTGTTTCAACTAAACAAAGAAATAGTTCAGATGGTATTTCAATAAGCTCCAAAAAGTCGTTACTTCAAAGTACATCTGCGTTGTACTCCGTGTCTAATTTGCTGGATTCGTCGTCACCATTTGGCTCATTATCGAAAGATTCCACCGTTACGATAATAC